AAGAGGTGAGAGACAGGACACAAACAGCCATATACACACCCATGTTCATCACAGCACAATTCACTATAGCAAAGAGATGGAAACATCCTAAATGCCCATCAACAAATAAATGGATAACCAAATTATGGTACATTCACACAACAGAATACTATGCTACATTAAAGAATAATGAAGAATATGTGAATCATCTCACAATTGTGGGTGAATTTGGAGGACATTATTCAGAGTGAAATAAGTCAATCATAGTGGAACAAATATTGTATGAGCCCACTACTATAAAAAGTCAAGGAAGGGTTTGCTTAGAGAAGGGAACTCACTCTGTAGATTACCAGAGATGGGAAGGAAGGGGAGGGAAAATTTTGGACTAGTTGGGGGCCACATGCTGAGTTGGGTAAGGGGAGGGGTGGTATGGAAAGAGTCTGTGACCAGCATGATAACATTGGAAAAAGGAAGGACACTGAATTGTTCACATTAAGATAGAGATGTCAGAGGCTAATACCAATGTATGCACAATACTACATTACCACGAACACCAAACACCAAGCTAAAGATAAATGCATAGACAACTGAGAAGATCAGATGGGGGCTGGCAAACAGGAACATACCCTAGACCAATGATAGACTTAGCTGAAGATAATCTTGCATAAATACTAGTGTTACTAAATAACCACGATAATTACAGAAGCAACAGAAGACAGATTTGGAGTAATCCCTCAGGAACAGCCAAACACCTTGGGAGAGAGAATCACCAGATCTGCTGACTCAAGACCATAGTATTAGGTGCACCAGGCTCAATTGGCACACATAATACATAAAAAATCTTGTTCCACAGCCTACTTTAGTGAGCAGAGACTGGGATCTTAAAAGCTTTTGATTGGCCATGTAAGATGCAGCTAGTGGTCTGAAGTGAAGAAGAGTGAAGAAAATCAAGGGCATATGCAAACAATTAATCCAAGGATATTATAGATCTCAAGACCAGAAGAACAAGATGGTGCCTGGCTACCAGCACCAACTACTTGGGAAGGAATCAAAAGTGGAAATCCTAGATAAAGTGGGAGGAAAAATGTGTAAGAAAATTCAAATACAAAATAACGACCTGAATTACTGCTTAGATGGAGTCTGATGGGACCCCCAAGACTATGGCCCTGGGATACTCTTCAGGCCTCATATAGGACTCACTCCCAAGGACTGGCTCTCAGCCCAACAGTAGAAAAACTCAAATGCAGAACACCCAACCCAGGGCTATACATCCACCTACTCTATGGAGAAACACCTCTTGGAGCAATCGGCCATGGGAACCAGAGGGGCAGCATTCACATGCAGGGAAAGCTGGACAGACAGGAGTGAATAATTAAGAAGGGCACGGGGGAGGGGGGCCATAGAGAAGGGAAAGGAAGAAAGTGGATTAGGGTTGGGATGGTCATCAGGGAGTGAAACCAAATATACATGAACTGTTGAGTGAAAAAATTTCTGCTCTGTAAATTTGTACCCAAAGCAAAAAAAAAAAAAAAAAAATTTAAAAAAGAAAAGAAAAGGAATGCATAAAGATCAATATCCTGGGCATTAGTGAGCTGAAATGGACTGGTACTAGCTATTTTGAATCAGAGAGTCATATGGTTTACTATACCAGGAATAGCAAATTGAAAAGGAATGGTGTTGCATTCTTTGTAGAAATGAACATTTCAAGATATATCTTGAACTACAGTGCTGTTGGTGATAGGATAATCATACACCTACAAGGAAGACCAATTAATGCTACTATTATTCAAATTTACACACCAACCACTAAAGCCAAAGATTATGAAATGGAATATTTTTACCAAATTCTGTAATCTGAAATTGACAAGATATAAAATCGAGATGTATTAATAATTACTGGTGATTGGAATGCAAAAAGTTGGAAACAAAGAAGAAGCATCAGTAGCTGGAAAATATGTCCTTGGTGTTAGAAATGAGGCTGGAGATCATGACAGATGTCCATTATAGAACTTTGTAAGAGCAATGACTTATTCATTGCAAATACCTTTTTTCAACAACATAAATAGTAACTACACATGTGGACCTCACCAGATGGAATACACAGAAACCACATAGACAATGTCTGTGGAAAGAGTCAATGAAGAAGCTTAATACAATCAGTTAAAACAAAGCCAAGAGCTGACTTATGCAAATTCAAAATGAAGCTGAAGAAAATTAAAACAAGTCTACAATTGCCAAAATACAACCTTGGGTATATACCATTTGAATTTAGAGACCATTTGAAGAATAGATTTGATGCATTGAACATCAACAACCAAAGACCAGATGAGTTGTGGAATGACATCAACATCATACATGAAGAAAGCAAAAGGTCATTAAAAAGATAGGAAAGGAAGAAAAAAACAAAATGGATGTTAGTAGAGACTCTGCAACTTGCTCTTGAATGGACAGTAGCTAATGTGAATGAAAGACGTGATGAAATAAAAGAGCTGAACAGAAGATGTCAAAGGTCAGCTCAAGAAGACAAAATATTATAATGTGTGCAAAGACCTGGAGTTAGAAAATCGAAAGGGAACAACACACTTGGCATTTTGCAGGCTGAAAGAATTGAAGAAAAATGCAAGGTTCAAATTGGAAGATTGAACGATTCTATGGGAAAAATATTGAATGTGGCAGGAAGTATCAAAAAAAGATGGAAGGAATATTCAGAGTCACTATAAAAAAAAGAATTAGGCAATGTTCATCCATTTCAGGAGGTAGTATATGATCAAGAACCAATGGTATTGAAGGAAGAATCTGAAGCTGTACTGAAGGAATTGGAGAAAAACAAGGCTCCAAGAATCGATGGAATACCCATTGAGATGTTTCAACAGTGCTGGAAGACAGCTACCTGGCCAAATGACTGGAAGAGATCCAAATTTATGCCATTCCAAAGAAAGATGATCCAATAGAATGTGGAAATTATCAAGCAATATAATTAATATCACCTGCAAGTAAAATTTTGCTGAAGATAATTCAAAAAGAATTGCAGCAGTATATTGACAGGGAACTGCCAGAAATGCAAGCTGGATTCAGAAGAGGATGTGGAATGAGGGATATCACTGTTGATGTCATATGGATCTCAGCTGAAAGCAAGGAATATAAGAAAGATGTTCACCTGTGTTTTATTGAGTATGCAAAGGCATTCAACTGTGTGGAGCACAACAAATTATGGATAACACTGTGAAGATTGGGAATTCCAGAACACTTAATTATGCTCATGAGGAACCTGTACATAGACCAATAGGCAGTCCTTTGAACAGAGTAAGGTGATACTGTATGGTTTAAAATCAGGAAGAGCATGTGCCAGGTTTATACTTATTCAATCTTAATTTGAATATATCCTGTAAAATTTAAATACTTATTCAATCTGTATACTGAGCAAATCATCTGAGAATCTGGTCTACATGAAGAATGGGACATCAGGATTAGAGGAAGACTCATTAACATCCTGTGATATGCAAACAAAAATTGAGAGTATCAGCGATCTCATTTTACTTGGATCCACAATCAACACCCATGGAAGCACCATTCAAGGAATCAGACATCGTTTTACACTGGGCAAATCTGCTGACTTCTTTAAAGTTTTAAAGAGCAAAGATGTTACTTTGAAGACTAAGGTGCGCCTAACCCAAGCCATGGTATTTTCAATCTCCATATATGCATGTGAAGCTGGACGGTGAATAAGGAAGACTGCAGAAGAACTGATGCATTTGAATTGTGGTATTGGTGAAGAATACTGAAAATATCATGGCCTGTCAGAAGAACAAACAATTGAGTCCTGGAAGAAGTGCAGCCAGAATGCTCCTTAGAAGTGAGAATGGCCAGACTTTGCCTAACATACTTTGGTCATGTTCTCAGAAGGGACCAATCCTTGGAGAAGGACATCATGTTTGGTTAAGTAGATGGGTAGATAAGAAGGGGAGGACCTCAGTGAGATGAGTTGACACAGTCTCTGCAATTATGGGCTCAAACATAGCAAGGATTGTGAGGATGATGCAGGCCCAGGTAGTGTCTCATTCTGTTGTACATGGGGTCAGTTTGATTTGGAATAGACTTGATGGCACCTCACAACAACCACAAAATCATACAGCTAGTGAATGAGAAGCCATGTTTGCCAGTGACTATACTGTCACAAGGGGAGCTCTGGTGACGTAATGCCTAAGGCATTTGACTGCTAACCAGAAGCTGGCAGCTCAAACCCACTAGCCACTTCTTGGAAGGAAGAGTGGGCAATCTACTTCCATAGAGATACCACCTCAGAAACCCAAGGAGGGGTCGTTATGAGTTGAATCGACTAAATGGCAGTGAGCTTTATGGTTTTATACTGTCATGAACAATATGAAGACATGAACCTTGACTTTTCATCTCTGTGTCACCAACTGTAAACACATAGAAAATATTCAATAAATGTTTGGTGACTGACTTGATGGATTGGTTTCAATGACAAGGGACAGGGGGAAGGAAAACTAGTGTCTTACTCAGTGTAACAAATAAGGTGATGTCCCCTGTAAGAAACAGAGAAATCAAGAAAAGAATGATGCTGCTCTCAAGTACTGAATAAATGTTGTTAATGTAATTTATATCTCTAAATTGCATACCTAAAAAATGTTGAATTGGCAAAGGTTGTATTATATATATTTTAATAATAATAAGAATTTACATAAAATTGTTAATTTTATATCACTAATTAGTCTTAAGGTAAAAGTTCACAGATCACTAATTTAGCAAATAATACATTTTTTGACTGCCACACTAAAAATTACTTAGAAAAAGCATTGGTAAGAAATTACTTAATTCCTTATATATAGTAAAGTAGCAAAAAAAAATTTCTCTACCATACTAATGACTTTCCCATTTAAATTTTACAGGATATATTCAAATTAAGAGCCTGAGATTTCTTATCTTGTGCTTGTTAATTTATAATTACTCCATAGAAGAAAAGCTTGAGCATCAGTTCACTACTCTAAAAGAAGCAGCCACTAACCTGGATGTAGTTGTATGCTCAGACTCTCGTTTCTAGTCAAGTGGGAGACAGAGCAGGTCACAGCAGACATGATGCCATCCTCCCAGTGGCACGCACTCCTCACAGACACTGCACCGTTGCCCTGATTTTCTTGCTCAGTGATACAGTCCCCCTCTGGGTTCCAGGAGATCTGTGCAGCCGGCTTCCCTGCAACTGCCTTGCACACCACAGTTCTATTCTCAGTTAGAAACACGGTCACCTCGGGGGGCACTGCAGAGATGTAAGGGAAAACAAATGCTTCAGTGTTAACATAAGCAAAAAGGAATTCAGAGAGACTTTTGATTCTGTCTCAGTCTGGTTATCTGAATAGCACAATGTACAATGTTCCTTACCTAACACTTGGACATGATAGGCATGATGGAAATTCCCATTAGCTGTTACTATTTCACACATGTAAGACCCATCATGAGTGATGGCCACTGGATCAATCTGAAGGGCAGGACTCTGGTCAGGTCTGGTGGCCCAGGTTATTCCTTTATTAGTACAATTAGCTTCCAAAGTCTCATTTTTATCTCTCCTGTAGGCTTTGGTGCAGGAAGTGTTGTCTCTGAAGATTATTTTCCATGTTGCTACAAACTCAGGTGTCAGTGGGACAGGAGGGCAGGAGAGCACAGCCTTTGTATTCACCAGTACAGTCAGTGAAGTCTTCACTGGACACACACACACACAGACACATAGTGATTTTTTTTTTTAAGCTTGATAAAGAATTCTATTACGTTAAATTTATCCATAGCATAATATATGGTGTTTTACTAGAACTTTACTTTGGTGCTAAGTAATATTCCAAAAATATTTGAGTCACATGACAAACTAAAAATTCACAAAATATATATAATGCAATAAATATTATCTAAAGATTAATAATTTTTTTCTTATATTATGTATTATTAGCAAAACAATATGTATTATATGTAGGAAAAATATTTCAAGTCTCTTGAAATTATTCAAGAGCTTTGATATCTATAAAACAGATCATTGAGAAAACAGAACAGTAAATTAAAAGACAAAGAAAATGTTCTAAATCTAATCTTTGGTCATAGACTTTATTAAATTTATCATATAAAGGATGCCTCTGTGGAAAGAAAATGGAATAATTAATGGTATGGGTGTTTCTTCCTAAGTTTTGATGAGACAAACATAAGAACTAAATGTGTATTCCTAAGACAATCATAAACGTGCAAAGTATAGGGGAAAGGAAAAAAAAAAAAAAAAACCTCATGCCCATCGAGTCAGATCTGACTCAGTGACCCCTCCTTGGGTTTCTAAAGGTGGTATCACTATGGAAGTAGATTGCCCAACTTTCCTTCCGAGGAGTGGCTGGTGGATTTGAACTGCCAGCCTTCTGATTAGCAATCAAATGCCCTAGGCTCTATGCCACCAGAGTTCCCATGCAAAGCATATGGCACTTTTATTAAAAATAACTAAGAGGACATTAAGGTTGAACAAGTTGGAAATTTTTTTATTTTGTTCTTTAATTCAGAGTGTCACAAAGTCAGTAAAATCAACTGATCTTAAAATAATCTGTAATATCATCAGTTTACCCATCACATAAAAAATTAAAAACTGATGATCCACAGTAGTAAGAGATGCTTAAAAATATTTGTTTTTAGTAAATTTGTGTCCCACAAATGTTAACTGGCCACAATAAGAAAAAGAGAGTGATAAAGGTTTCCATTTGTCATTTACTTCTAAAGGGTCTTATTTAAAGCCACCTAAAACTCTTCCTTTTTAAAATCAACATTTTATCTACCTGGGATGTAAAAGTTTCTTCACTTGCTTGCTTATTTGTTTGGTGGATATTGCTACCTCTAACGTATAACTGGTCCCTGGTAGACCAGGAACAGAAAGGAGTTAACTTATAGGCAGAGGTAATTAATCCTGACAATCATGAGATAATACGATTACTTCTATATAATTGTTGTTGTTGTTAGGTGCCATCGAGTCACTTCCGACTCATAGCCACCCCATGCACAGAAGAACAGAACACCACCCAATCCCACGCCAGCTCCATGATCCTTGCTATACTTGAGCCCATTGTTGCAACCACTGTGTCAATCCATCTCATCGAAGGCCTTCTCCTCTTTCGTCGACCTTCCACCTTACCAAGCATGACATCCTTCTCCAAGGAATGGTCCCTTCTGACAACATGACCAAAGTAGGTGAGATGAAGTCTGGCCATCCTCGCTTCCAAGAAGAATCTCAGCTGCACTTCTTCCAGGACAGTTCTTTTAGCAGTCCACAGTACTTTCAGCATTCTTTGCCAGCACCACAACTCAAAAGCATCAACTCTTCTTCGGTCTTCCTTATTCATCGTCCAGATCTCACATGCATATGAGGTGACTGGAAATATCATGGCCTGTGTCAGGTGCACCTTAGTCCTCAAGGAAACACCCTTGCTCCTCAGCACTTGAAAGAGTTCCTTTGCAGCTGACCTACCCAGAGCTACACGTTTTCTAATGTCCTGACTGCTGCTTCCATTGGCATCAACTGTGGAACCAAGCAACGTGAATTCTTTGACAACCACAATCTTTTCTCCATTTATCATGATGCTGCTTATTGGTCCAGTTGTGAGGATTTTTGTTTTCTTTATATTGAGATGTATCCATACTGCAGACTGTGTTCCTCAATCTTCACCAGTAAGTCCCTCAAGTCATCCTCACTTTCAACAAGCAAAGTTATATCATCAGCGTATCTCAGGTTGTTAATGATTCTTCCTCCAATCCTGATGCCATGTATTTCTTCATATACTCCAGCTTCTTGGATTATTTGCTCAGCATATAGATGGAATAAGTATGAGGAGAGGATACAACCCTGATGCACTCCCTTCCTGATTTTAAACCATGCAGTGTCCCTTTGTTCCGTTCGAACGACAGCCTCTTGGTCAAGGTACAGGTTCCTCATGATGACAAACAAGTATTCGGGAATTCCCATTCTTCTCAATGTTATCCATAATTTGTCATGATCCACACAATCAAATGCCTTTGCATAGTCAATAAAACACAAGT